AGATGGTGCAGCTCCGACAGCAACCCCGCTTTGTTAACGCAGAGAGCGGGACGGCGGAAGCTTCCCGTGCACCAGTTACGTCCGTTTCCCCTGAAATCTTCATTTTTACCTGTGCAGGTGTGTTACAAGGAACACCCCGAGCAACTGAGGGATTGTCAAAGCGCCGAACTGCAAGAACTGAGGGGTCCGCTGTCACTGCGCTTGAGCTGGGTTGTGGGCAATACCTGGAAGCCTGAATCTCGAGCTTGGGAAATGCTGCGGGCTCGGGCCCGGCGGAACGAGGAGCGGCCCGTGACTGCCGGGCATAAGCGGTCCCCCACTGCTCACGCAGCATCGGCATCGGATTGCCCGACAAACGAGGAACGCATTTGCTCCTTCGCTCTGAGTGATGTGTGAAGCTCCAGGCTTTGGGTAAAGTCCCTCCAAACAAAGTCAATGAAACACTTCCCCTCCGAGAGGAAAAAAAAAGCCAACTGTAAAACCTCCCTCCTGGACTAGAACGGAGTTTTGTTTTCTTAGGTGAACAAAAAGTGCCCTTTAGAAAGAAAGTTCGTTAAACGGGACCTGGATGTGGCCCCTTTTTGCAGCTTGGCTGCCGAGTTACGAAGGACAATCTTTGCTTTTAAACATTGGAATAGCGATGTTCATTTAAAAAGCAACAGCAAAAAAAAACACCTCTCCAAACCCAACATGTATTAGTATGCACTGAAATATATTGCGCCTTTTTTGCTCACGGTAATAAATTATACTGCACGTGGTTCCTTCTCACAAACAGGATGTCTGAACAATTCGAACTCAGCCGAGGTTGTGAATCTGCGATTTGTGGTTGCCGCAGCCCCCAAGGGATACTCGGGAGGTTGGGGAGGAGCCCTGGGGGGACCTTTTGCGCCTTCTCTCGTCCCCGTGGGGAGGGGCGGACACTGCTGGGACTGAACGATTGGCCCAGGGACGCGCATTTCTTGGTGCGTTTTGATTTAACTTTGTCCCAAGCTGATCTACTGAGGCCCCCCCCCCCCCCCCCCCCCCCCGGCGGGCGCCCGCAACAAATGAAAATTAATAAATAAATAAATAAGACTCCCTACGTGACTTTGCCTTGGCAAAGGGGCGGCTGCTGCTGAAAACTTTGCACCATCCGAGCACCTGTCTTCACTTCCCTTCCTATTTCAAGGACTCTCTTCCCCCCGCATCTGTTGGCATTTTCATTCAACGAAAATCATCTCTCTCCTTTTCCCCTGCCCCGCGCGAAATAGCTCCCATGAAGCGCCCTTCACAGCCTCCCCTTCCCACTTTCCTGCATAACCGAAGGGTGTGTGTGTGGAGGCAAGCGAATGATAACCCCAAATTCGTTTAGTTCACTCTCAGGCAATGTTGATTTCTTCCAATTCCCCCATAGACACTTCGTGTTTTAATTGCCCTGAGAGAAAAGAACAAAATAAATTCAAAATTAAAATTTATATTTTCTATGCCGAGACACTCATAGCTAAGCAACGGTGCTAGAAATGAGAGGGGGCAGAGGAGGTGTGGGGATGGAGGCTTCTGGGCCGTTTGGAAAGGGAATACCTGCCCTGTTGATGCCGCCGCCTTTTCACTTTATTTAAACAAATGAAGAACTGGAGGGGACCGCAACGAGTGGCAGCGCTGTCCCGGCCGGGAGAGGCAAGCAGCGGTAGGGACGGCCCCAGCGCGGAGCCGGGGCTGAGCGTCCTGAGCGGGAGGTGGGTCCCATGCCGTCCCCGCACTCACATTTCTTTCCCGAATGCGTTTTTTTTTTTTCTTTTTTTTTTTTTCTTTCTTTCTTTTTTTTTCTTTTTTTTTTTCCCCAGCAGTGAGACGCCTGCAGTCGGTGCGATTTATGCGGGATTCTAATTCTTCCGTTAGGATCTGTAAGTGCTGAGCTCAAGAAGGACAGAGGAATGCGAGGGCGGAGGAGGCGGCAGCCGCGCTCCCCGCGGAGAACCCCGGGGTGCCGAGCGCTAACACCCCCGCCGTGCCCTCCTCCCCCCGGCTCACCCCAGGGGACGGAGTGCCTCCAGGAGCCCCGAGCACGGCAGGGGCGAGCTCCTTCACACCACCTCTGGCCACGAAACGTCTCTCCATCACACCTCACACCCTTTCACAGAAGGTTTAGGAGATACTCCATCTCTGGAAACACAGCGGCACATCTGCGCGCAGCCCTTAATAACCGGGCTGCCTGCCGGAGGGGAGCGCTCCCTGAAGAAAGATGCTTTTCAAAGCTGTCTCTCCTCAGCGCAAGGTTTAAAAAATGAAAAAAAAATTATTTGCCGCCTTCTCCCCCAGGACCCGTCCAAACTTTTTTAGAATGGTTTCTGTTTGCTGAAGTCAGCTTTCTGCTCGCAAGCTTTTAAGGAGAACGAATGCCACGCGCGGAGCCAGTTCTCCCCTCGGCTGCATCTCTCTTTCCCTTTGAAGTCAGCTGGGGTGCGCGGAGGTAAACGAGAGCAGAATTTGGGCCCTGGAGCTAACCACGCTGAGAAGCAGCTCCGTGGTTTGTTTATTTACTTATTTGTATGTTTGTTTATTTGTTTGTTTGAGCTAGGAATGGTGGGGGCAGTTATACCTCGCGTAGCTCCCTGCCTTCAGCCCTCGGTGCGGTGACGGTGCGGACATCTCTGTGTGAACCACGGCACTGAGAGCGCAGACGGGGCAAAAAGGGAGAGGAGCCGTCCCTGGGGTGAAGAAGCTGCTGTAGGGCTCTGCTCTCAGTCCAGCGGTGGGGGTTGCGCGGAAGACGCGGCAGTGGCTCCGAGTGCCGGGCTGCCCCCGCAGCGAGTAGCGCTGCCGTCGGTGCACGGCCGCTCCGGGCTGTCGGGAGGGAGCGAGCGGCGCCGCCGTCGAGGCAGCTCTCGGGACGTGCGTGTCCCCCGGGCGGGCATTCTGGGCTCCTACGGTCTCACTGCAAAAAGCCCCGGTGCTGTGCTGCTGCCGGTGGGAGCTTGGAGTTTTACGGTTTTACGGGCACATGAGATGCTCCTTGTCCTCGGCACCCCTAGGGTTTACTAGCTGCCTTTAAAGAGGGACGTTTATTGGGATAAAAGTGGATTGCAGGCTGCAAGAGCGTTGCATGTGTCTTTCATTTAAAAGATACCGAGAGCTCCGGTTTTTGGTGTTGTTTTTTCTTCTTTTTTTCTTTTCTTTTTTCTTTTTCTTTTTTTTTTTTTCTTTTTTTTTTTTTCTTTCTTTTTCCCTCCCCCAAGGCATTTAGTGCTTTTAAGGCAGAGTTATAAACAAGCTGCCGGAGCGCCGGCACACGGAGATGCGGGCGGTGGGGCCGGGAGGGGGGAGGAGGGCAGGGAGAGCATCTGTTTCCTCGGGTCTGCAGCAGACTTTGCTCCTAAAGGTGCAAAGCGGCAAATGCCGCTTCTTCAAGAAAATCCAGAGAGCAAGGAGGGGACCCCGGCACCGGGCCACTCTTCGCCGGATCCTCTTCGTACGAATTCACTCTCCATCCACTTCTCCACGAGATCTCATGCACAGAGGGCCAAAGCAAACCCCAGCCCCGAACACATGCTTCAGCCCCAACTCCCCCCGCCACCTCCGTGCTCCCCCCGGTGCGGGTGTCAGAGGCAGCGCTGGGAACGGGGCGGGAGGGGCGCAGGGTGCCACTGCCTGCGGTACAGTTCTGAGGTTTTCGGGGCGCACACAGTGCGCCCGTGCGCGTGCGGGTTGAGCTGTGCAAGTGGGGTGATGCGGGCAGTTGTATGCTGCATCAGCAGAGAGGTAGCCCGTTCAGGTATCCCTGAACGTCCCTATCATTAAAGCCGCTCTTCTCTCCCCACCATGGGGGAAAGGGTTCTCCAGACTCATTTCTAAAAGAGCCTCAATGAGACAGATGCACTCAGCACGATGTTGCAGCACTGATCTGAACAGATCGCAGTCCTGATTCGTGTTGCTTTTGTGAGTAGGGAGTGAACTTCCTTTCTTAAGGAGCAGGGAGCAATGTGGGTCTTCCCTAACAGTTTTGTGCAATGTGGGTCTTGTCAAATGGTTTCCTAGGTCTGTCTCATCTATGTCTTAAATCCTGCCTATGTGACAGTGGACCAAAGAAAGAAACACTTTTCTCATATTTCAGGTGAAAACCTCTGCTTGTTCAATATTCACAGGAATGCAAGCATGCAAGATCATTTCTTTTTTTTTTTTTTTTTTACCACTTTAGGTTCTGATTTGCCATTCTGTTTAACCAGCTCTCACTAACACACAGAAGTGGATTGCGACTCTGCTGCATAGAAGCCAAATTCCCTTTCAGGACAGCTTCTGAGCAGCTTTTGCTGTTCTGTTTCTCTGCTTCCCATCTCCACTGCATGAATAACATTTATTTTTCCCTCCAGCTTTAGGATCGAACTGCTGAGCTATTTGGGGAAGAAAGAGCATTGGTTCTTCTCTGCAGCTTCAGAGAGCAGGACTGCAGCTACTGAGTGTCAGTTGGATTGATTATGGGAGATCCTTTACTCTAGGGTATATGCCCCTGCAGTCCCCGAGCTGTGCCTCTCAGGGAGCTGGGAAAGAGGGAGGGAAGTGAGAGATTGCTCTCTTTTCGGGATCCCCGGAGAAATGAGAATGGGTCACGGAAGGGAAATGTCCTTCTCGCGTTCCTCCCTCTCTCCCTCCCTCCCATCTCCCCTCACCCTCCCCTCATGCCCGTGTATGTGTGTCTGTCTGAAACACATCTGTCTGTCTAAAATGGGCCTGGAACTCCCTCCTGTGTTGGGATTAGGTCTTGGGGGACCCGGGGTGGAGTTATGGCACTCGCCGATTTTCATATTCATTAGAAATGGGAGGTTGCGTAAGGAGCCCCGCTGAGCTTCAAGATATAAAGCAACTTCAGGTTCCCCCTCTAAAGACAAGACAAATCAAAAGCTCGAAGGGAAAGCAGCTCCCTGAGCTCTGAACGTCTCTCCCTCCCTCCTTCCCTCCCATCCACTCCCCCTCCCCTGCTCACAGTCTGGCCTCTGTCTAGGGAAGAGGCTATCCGGCAGCCTTATATGATTATGGATTTTCTGAGCGAGAAGTTTGCCCTGAAGAGCCAGCCGAGCAAGAACAGTGACTTTTACATGGGAGCAGGAGGCACTTTGGAGCACGTTATGGAAACCTTGGACAATGAGTCCTTTTATAGCAAAACGTCAGGCAGCAAATGCGTGCAGGCCTTCAACCCTCTGCAAAGGGCTGAGCATCATGTGAGGCTGGACAGGACATCGCCCTGCCAGGACAACAACGGTAAGGCGGCAGCCCCGCTGCGTTCTGCTCCTGCTCACCGGGTTAGCCTCTGCTCCTGCCTGGGAGAGTGGGGGGAGCCGTGCAGCCTTTGGGAGCCGGCATGCGAGGTGCAGCCTGCTAAATAATAATTATAACAACACTATCAGTAACGTCAGTAAGAATAAAGATGATAACAGCGATGCAAAAAAAATGGGAAAAGGCGACTGCTTGCTTGGAAGTGCTCTTCACCTTTCTGCTGCCCTCTCCGCCGGCACCGAGCAAAGTCGTTGGGCTTTACTCCTTCCCTGGACGCGCAGCCCGGCCAGGGGAACAGGCAACGCGGAGGGAGGAAGGAGCCGGGCAGGGCTGCCGGGGAAGGGCCGCGGAGGAGCAGGGCGGCCTGGCTGCTGCAGAGAACCCGCGGACGCTGCCGCCTGTCCGCCCCGCGACTCTCCGCTCCGCGCCTGGCTGGGCTCGGGGTTCCCATTCCCGCCGCTCTAGGAGAGGCGGCCCGGAGGGCTGCGGGCGCGGAACCCGCCGGATCAGAGAGGCACCGCCGCGGGTTGAAAACGGAAGGTCACTTGGTCGTGTTCTGCTCTTTAAATAACTCTCAGAGATTATAGTATTTATCTTTATTATCGTTATTATTTTTACTAAGCCACTGAGTAACGTGCAGTCGACATGACATGTGACTCTTTGTACGGACTGAAAACGATTTAGGTAACTCACACGATGCTGTTACGTGCTAGTGTATTAGTACTTTTTTTGCGCTCTTTTTTTTTTTCTTTTT